ACTATTCAGAAAAATTTATTGATAGAATTGCAATAAGCAAGAGTATATTTTTCTATAAACGTTTTATTTTCCATTGTCTTATATTTAATGTTTTTCTGTGTTATGTGCTTAATAATTTAGTATTTATATATCACTTTATAATTCACAAAGTGCTTATATAATGATAATCTCTCCTAAGACATCTACTGCTGCGAGAGGTTAAGTTACTTGTCAAAGGTTATGTCAGTTTATTTATTAAGCCTTTGTAAGCCAGACAGTTTTCTTAGCCATTTGTCAATATTAATTCATTTAATTCTCTTGATAAATCTATGAGGTAGGTACCATTATCTTTCTTATTTTATAGATATAAAAGCTGAGGCAGTGTAGGATGAAGGAGGTTGCCAGTAGTGGAACCAGGATTTGAACCTAGACAATCTGGCTGCAGAGTTTACTCTCGTAACTACCGTTATGCTGTCTCTTAGTAAAGGTGGGCGCAGAAGTTCAAATTCAGACTTGCCTCTGGTAAGTGATGGTTTATTTTCAGTCACTTGTTACTCTCTTCCCTCTACTCCCGCCCCCATCAGCCAGACTGAAGGACTTCTACCAGTGAAAGTTTACTTGTTGACAGGATCTGAGTTGGGTTTCTGGTAACTTCTAACGTTGCTAGATGTTGAGAGTTTATATTAAGTTTGCTGTAAGTGTAGTTTTGTTTTTCACTAACCTCTGACTTGGAAAAGGGCAAAACCCAGTATTTCTGTCAGCTCCAAATGGAAATATCTTTGATATTTGATCTCTCAACTGGCCTTTACTTTTTTTGTTATAGTTACTGCTAGCTTAGCCTCTAGTGGAAAGTAAAAGCGTTAGTCGTTCAGTCATGTCTGACTCTTTGCAGCCCCGTGGATTGTAGCCCTCCGTGGGATTCTGTAGGCAAGAATCCTGGAGTGGGTTGCCATTCCCTTCTCCAGGGGATCTTCCCGGCACAGGGATCAAACCCCAGTCTCCTGCATTGCAGGCAGATTCTTTACTTCCTGCTCTGAGCCACCAGGAAGTACAAAGTGTGGTGTTGATCATTTATTGCTTTTTGGGAAAGGAATTTGCATTCTGTACGGACAGGAAGATCTTGTAAATTTTGCTGATTTGAAGTTTAAGTGAAACACATTCTGTTTGAAAGGGTAAGTGATTAGTTTTGCTTTGGGTAGGTGATTGTAACTGTGTCTTATTGACTGGGGGCAAGCAACTTGATCGGAAAAGCAGAGCTAGTTAAGTTGCTCCAGTCATGTTTAGTGTTATATGACTGGAGCCTCTTTGTGATGGAAAACTGTTTTAAGGCAAAGAAGTAGATAGAATTTAAAGTACCCAGAATCAAGAATTACCTTAATTGGAATTAATGAGAATGAGAAAGAGAATTAAGTAGTTTGACTCGATAACTGGATGTGAATTTTTAGTGAGTAAAGTTGTAGGAAATAAACTAGGAAATAAATTGCAGGGAATTAATGGGCAGTAGGTATAAGGGTGTGTGTCATGATAATTTGAGGAGGCATAAGGTTAAATTCAGCAAGGCTTTTGACTGTTACAGCAAGGGATATGCAGTTAACAATACAAGTATTTGAAAATTTGAGAAAGGAAAAGAAATTTTTATTAATTAGGTAACTGTTTGAGTAGATTGATTTAACAGAGTAAGTTGAGAGCATGGTGGTCACATAGTGTGAAAATCTGAAACTGGGTGGAGAGAAATAATAAGAGTTGGATATTAATACAGACTTAGGAAATTTGACATTTTGAAGATAAATACATTTTCCTCATTAAAAAAAAAAAGGACACCTCCTGTGTTCTTCCCATAAACTGGCATGTATTGTGCACTAAAATAAGCTTTGAAGTTTACTCAAAGTACAAAAAGGTGGAAGACAGAGGGAAAGTTGTGATTATTAGATCCTGTGATTAAATAGGCACTTTTAGATGAAAAACAGACAAAACAGCCAGACTGCAGCCGGAGGATAAGAAGTTCCTGTGGACGCCGGTCTCCGTCAGTCCGTTCCCTGGCAGATACCGCAAGCGCTCTTCAAGTCCCTGAGCCGCACGGTTCACAAGCATTACTCGTTTTCACTCAGTGGCCCTCGCACATTATCAGGGGGTGAAATTCCATGTTTTTCTTTTAAAGGATTAATCAGTGAAGTTTATACAGAGAGGTTAGTGTGGACAGGTAAAGTTTTTAAGAAATCATCTGGCTTCTATCCCAAATACCTCAGCACCAAGCGTACTTGAAGGTGGAGGAAAAGGCACAGTGGCTGAGTGCTCCCGGGAAGAAAGCCCAGCTGTCCATAATCACCTGTCAGAGATCTTCCATAAATGCTGAGCTTTCTCCTCACAGCCCGTGCTCTGGTTCAGATAAACTCGCTATTTTAAATCTGGACCCGTGTCTGCCGAAGTCATTCTTCTAAAATGCAGTTCTTGCTATGGAAGCCTGTGAGTGTTACCTTCAGGATAAGCTCTAAACTGCTGTGCTTTGTTTTGGATACCTTATGAGCTGTCCCATAGGGTGGGAAATGGAGTAGAAATAGGGACACAGAGCGCGAGGGAGGAAGGAGAGGGGGGACGTTTGGAGAGAGTCACATGGACACTTACGTTGCCACGTGTGAAATAGATGCCCAGTGGGCATTTGCTGTGTGACTGGGCGATCTACATCCGGGGCTCGGTCACAACCAGGAGGGGTGGGGTGGGGAGGGAGGTTCCCAAGGGAGGGGGTGTTCCTGTGCCCTGTTGATATTTGGCAGAAACCAAGACTGTAAAGCAGTTATCCTAAAAAAAATAAAATTCAGCTCAATCAAAAGAGAATAATGTTAATGTTGCAGTGTTAAAATTGGAAATGGTTGTACTTGGCCTGTTGCCTAGAGATGGGAATGTGAATGTGTAACTGGTAAGTGCTGAACAGACATAGGTAGGGGTGGTCTCAGACAGCGGAGAGCTGGGGGTCCGAGGGGCTTGAGTTCTGCGGACAGGCGCTGAAGAGGCAGTGCAGTGCTGGACGCAGCTGCCCGGAGCCAGGCACGGGGCCGCCCCTGCCGTCGGTGAGATGAAAGGGGGCGAGACCCAGGCTTGGCGCAGATGCTGAGGCTAGAGCAGGGTGGCGGCTTCAAGTGGGAGGAGGCCGCACGGGAAGGTGGAAGTAATCTCGGAATCCTAGGAGACCGCAGTGGTGATCATTCGGAGAGTTCGATAAAAGGGAACGATTCTGAAGTTGAAAGGCACTGGGTACTGAGAAAGGTTTTCCTCCTCCCTCCCCTCTTCTGCCCATGTGGAGTCACCTGGGCTTTGAAACCGAGGCCTGGTGATGTGTAGTCCAGGTAAAATGGGTCTTTCCTTTCTGAATATTTTGGTCCTACAGAAACTGTTAAATCTAACAGAAGTGTGCTTTATTATATCAGGATTCTACTAGTGAAATATTCTTGAGATACATCCGAAAGCTGTCTCTACAGCTGGAGCCATTGCATTGATTTCTAAGGTTACACTTTACGGTCCCCATGTACCCAGGACTGAGCCGTTCCCATGAAGGAGGACTCAGCCTGGATGGTCTGCCTTGATCTTTGCCACATTCACTGAGTTTTAAATTTTAACTCATTGTTAAAATTCATTGAGTTTTAAGTTGAGTTTTAAATTTTTAATTTTGTTGCCTAACTGGCTTTTTAACCTTTCAAGTTCCATGTCCATTGGGCTAACTTTCTTTAGCAGCTGGTATGTACCACCCTGTCTTGTTCCTGGGATATTACCTGTGTATTAATGTCCTCAAACTAAAGTACCAGTGTGGAAACAGGGACTTGGTCTTCTACCACTTTTGTGCCCTTACCATACCCACTTTAATAGACTAGGCAGTCACTCAGTATGTTTGTTAATTGATCCAGGCAGATGGATACATGATGATATTTCTCTGGCTTTTCTAATCCATAATACTGTGCATAGTATGCAAAATGAATCATATCTGTTGGATTTTTAAAATAAGATTTTGCTTCTGACTCAAGAATGACATCTTAAAGTAAGCAGGCAATAAAGATCTATTTTCTGAGTGAGGCGTTGATAGGTCTGTAACCTTGGAGGACTGGAAATGTCGTTTATTATCTACATTCAGGACTCTCACTGTTGTTCGCAGTTGAATAGTAATGAGCTCTTATACAACTCTGTGATATTTTTAAAGGATTGAACTGGACATAATCAGCTTACATATAACTAGCCATATATGTTATGACCTAAATTCATTTGGATGAGTAATGAATTCACTCGAAAGTTTGTAAAAACTCAGACTTCTGTTTTTTTCTTTTGCCATGCCTGGTCACACAGCTGTTTAAGTGGCAGAATTGGAATGAAATTCAAGTAGTCTGAGTGCAGAATTGGCTCTTGAAAACTCTGTGGCATGTTGTCTTCCACGATTTGTTCCTCTTCTGTTCCCTATCTTGGTTATAGCTCTATTATCCACCCAGATAGCGAAGTGGGACATTTTAGTTGTGTGGAGTCCTCCTTTCTTCTAAGACCCAGCTATCCATAATCACCTGTCAGAGATCTTACATGTATGCTGAGCTTTCTCCTCACAGCCAGTGCTCTGGTTCAGATAAACTTGTTATTTTAAATCTGGACCCATTTCTACTGGAGCCATTCTTCTGAAATGCAGTTCTTGCTATGGAAGCCTGTCAGTGTTACCTTCAGGATAAGCTTTAACTTTAAACTACTGTGCTTTGTTTTGGATACCATATGAACTATCCCGTAGGGTTCTTTGTAGTTCAGATTACTGTTTGCCTGTGGGCCTCCTCACTTTGCACCAGTCTTACCAACAGTTCTCTGAATGCTCCGTATTTTCTGTGACTAGTTCTTTAAGAATTGCACTCTAACACACAGCTTATTCGAAGCTTTCCTTCTCCGTGACTCTCTTCGTGACTGAATCACCCACTTTCTATTCTGTGCCCTAGATGTAATGGTTGCCGTTTTGCATCTGTTTTAGTAACTGTCACAGTGAAAGCTGTTTTATCTGTTTACAGGTTGTCTCCTCATTAGACTATGAGCTCCGTGGAAGAAGGAATCGTGTCTTACTCATCTTTATATCTCCAGTATCTAGAACAGTTCCTGGTACAAAGTGAGTGATTAACCAAGACTATACTTAGCAATTAAACTCCAGACATGTTGATTGTTAAGTATACCTATGTAGACCGAGAATGCATTGTCATAAAAAATATGGTTGTGGACTTTTAACACTTCTGAGCCAGTTTTCTCATCTATAAGATGGAAATAGTACCTCCCTACTCATATAGTGTTACTGTAATGCTCATATTAAAGAATTTATATAGATACAGAAGCACCCTAAGTGTCCATCAACAGATAAGTGGATTAAGAAGATATGATGTGTGTGTGCGTGTGTATATGTATACAATGGGGTATTAAGCGGCCATAATCAGCAGATGAACTTGGAGGGTATTATGCTCAGTGAAATAAGTCAGACAAAGACATAATGAATGATATCACTTATATGTGGAATCTAAAAAATACAACCAACTAGTGAATGTAACAGAAGAAAGACTCAGAGATACAGAGAACGAATTAGTGGTTACTGGTGTTGAGAGGGAAGGAGGAGGGGCAATATAAGGGTAGGAGATTAAGAGGTATTGACTATTACGTATAAAATAAGCTACATGGATATATCTGTACAGATGGGAGTACAGCCACTATTTTATAATGATTATAAATGGAGTATAATCTTTAAAAATTATGAAACTATACTGTACATCTATAACTTACATAATCTTGCACATCAGCTATATGTCAATAAAAAATTTGTTATCACATTAAAAAATTATGTATATAGCAGTACTTTACGTGTATTTTAAGTGCCATGTGCATGCCTGCTAAGTCGCTTCAGTTGTGTTTGACTCTTTACAAGCTTATGGACTCTAGCCCGCCAGACTCCTCTGTCCATGGGATTCTCCAGCAAGAATACTAGAGTGGGTTGCCATGCCCTCCTCCAGGGGATCTTCCCGACCCAGGGATCAGACCTGTGTCTCTTAGGTCTCCTGCATTGCCAGGCACTTAGCAGGCATTTACCACTAGCACCCCCTGGGAAGCCCTTAAGTGCCATGCAACTTTGTTATTAAACGAAGTATAAAAGCTAATTGTTGATGTAGATGATTTTGTGTGCTATGTATCTTGCCTGTTAAGGCAAAGTAGTACCATTTTTGAACCATTTTGATCACTTGCAGTTTAAATTTTCAGTTACTGGTGACTAGAGGCACGCACTCTAGAGTCCAAGGACTGGTCTGTATAGAACAAAGAGAGCAATAGCTTGGGGGTGGAAATTTGGGTACAGAAAAAGTTTTAAGCAGTTAGAGCGAACAGTCTTTTGCCTAGTTGGCAGTTTCACAGTCTGCACAGTGTTTTAAACCTTCAATTCTTTTTAAATAACTTATCCTCAGTCTTTATCCTCAGCAGTGACCTTTTGGTCTAAATCACTAATAAAATCCCTCAAGTTTCTTTTAATCTACCTCCAGATTAATTCATATCTTCACTTATCCTTCGATCCCTCATTTACTGTTCAGGGGAAGAAGTACCTCCTTTTTCTTGGAAGACTAATTACACAGCATCTGTGGGAACGCTGTGGCTTTTCCTTGTCTGCCTTATCAGGCTGCAGGCATACTCCCTACCTCATCTGATGAATTAATGATCTACACTTTTCTATGTCTACTTCCTTGTCATCATGTATTTTTTACACTTTTAAAAATTCTGTAATTTGAACATGCCAATTCCGGATTGTAACATACAGAAGTTAATAATAAAAGCAAACCTTTGGGAACCAGTTACTCTGCTCAGAACTGGGTCAGTACCAACTCAGTTAAAGAGCTGCCTGTGAGTACCTCTGTTACCTTACATTCCTGCCCTTCCCCAACCCCGGAAGTAACTGCCATTTTCAATTTTTTTTTAATTATCTTTTTAAAAAAATAGTATCACCACAGATATGTTTCTTTATTTTGAATTTAATATTATGTTTAGAGTCTTTTTAAAGCTTGCACAAATGATGTTTTAAGAAAAGTCTGTTTTATAAACAGATCTTTATATTTCAATGAAAATACCCAAGCATCATAAAACAATGATAGAAAAGGCTCAGTGCATATTCACATTTATAACAAGAAAATAACCGTGGAGACTTACTTTTGTACGATGTGGATATTGGTGTACCAGATATAAAAGAAAGCTCCTTACTCAGAGTGCAGAAGTGTCGCCAGACGTATCTCCACACACTAGTTTTCTTGAATTTGTTTGTTTGTTTCTTGAATATGTTTCAGTTAGATTCATAGTGTCCTCCTTGAAGAGTGGTGAGTGGTGATTGTTGTTTGCTTGCCCTTTGCACCTCAGCGGTTCTTCGGTGGGCCTCATTCAGTTGTTCATACTGATCACATAAGCTTTTGAGACGCAGGATCCAACAGTATTCCCGTGTTTCTGGATTTTTAAATTTTTTTCTGTTGTGTAATTGTAGCATTTTCAGAAGAAATACATAGCAAAAAATGAGTCTATGGTAACTGCCAAAAGAATTAATTTCTTCTTTGTCATTAAGAATTGGAAGTTGTTCTTGAGGCTCAGTGAAGAACATTAAGTCTTGGAGGTGGGACTTGGTGAAAGAAAGATGTTACTTTTGAACTCCTGTTTGTCTATTTTTATTTACTATTACGTTTTCTAAGATCCATTCATGTTGTTGCCTACAGCTATAGTTCATTCATTCTCACTACTGTATAATGTTCCATTGTGTATTATCCTAATTCTTTTAACCATTTTTCTGCCAGTGAACGTTTGAGCATATTGGTGGTGGCTTTTATTATGAAGAATGCTTATACTTGGAACAAGTATCAATGCAAAAATTTTTGTAGTATGTACCTAGAATTGTTCAATAAGGACATGTAAATGTTCAACTTTATATAATAATGCCAAGTTGTTTTCCAACAAGTTTACCAAATTTAATACCTACCAGCAGTTTAAGCTTTGCCAGTTTAAACAACTAGTAGCAGTGTGTAAAGCGTCACCACTGCCCCACGTTTTTTTCTTTACATTATTTGGTCAAAATTCCTAGTCTTTACCATTCTTGTGAGTTTGAAAATAGCATCTCCTGTGGTCTTAACTAGTATTTCTCTGATGAATAATTGAGCTTCTGTATTTCTTAAAAATACTTCTTGGCCAAACAAGTTTCCATGTCTATAACATTTCTATTTAGTTTTTTTTTACCCCCCATATTTGCTTACTGTTTTTTTTTTTTAATTTTTTTGTCAGGGTTCTTACATAGTTTAATTACTAACGTTTATTCAGTTTTACATTTTGTAAATATCTCCCAGTTTGTGGCTTGTCTTTTAGTTGTCTATTTTTAATGATGTTTTATGCTAAATAGAAGTTCTCAGTTTCCACACAGTCAAAATATTCATTCATTCTTTTCTTCTTTGGTTAGTATGCTCAAGAAATCTTTCTTTTTTGGGAGGATGCAAAACAATAGTGTGATTTCTTTTAAAAGTTTGCCTTTTATACTAATATCACTAGTCCATCTTGAATTGATTTTGTATATGATGTGAGTTAGGAATCAAGTTTAATTCTTCCATTATAGATAATATCAGGACCATGTAATTGTCTCTCCTTTCTCACAGTTCTGCACTGCTGCATCTGTTGTGTTAGTATGTCCTTAGATATGTAGGTCTTTCGGGAAACTTTTTTTGTATTGAGGGATACCCGATTAACAGTGTCGGGATAGTTTCAGGCGGACAGCAGTGGGACTCGGCCATACATATACATGTATCCGTTCTCTTGTGGGCCTCTTTATGTTGTTTCACCTTATTTGTTGTTGTTTTTATTCAGTCGCTAAGTCGTGTCCGACTCTTTGCAACCCCATGGACTGCAGCACGCCAGGCTTCCCTGTCCTTCACTAACTCCCGGAGTTTGCTCAAACTCATTGAATTAGTGATGCTATCTAACTGTTTTATGCTCTGACACACACTTGTCCCCTTGCCCTTGATCTTTCTCAGCATCAGAGTCTTTTCCAATGAGTCAGTTCTTTGCATCAGGTGGCCAAAGTATTAGAGCTTCAGATTCAGCATCAGTCCTTCCAGTGAATATTCAGGACTGATTTCCTTTAGGATTGACTGGCTTGATCTCCTCACAGTCCAAGGGACTCTCAAGAGTCTTCTCCAGCACTATAGTTCAAAAGCATGACTTCTTCAGCATTCAGCCTTCTTTATGGTCCAACTCTCACATTCATACATGACCACTGGCAATACCATAGCTTTGACTATACAGACCTTTATTAACAAAGTGTTGAATCTGTTTTTTAATATGCTGTCTAGGTTTGTCATCGCTTTCCTTCCAAGGAGCAAGTGTCTTAATTTCATGGTTGCTGTCAATGTCCATAGTGATTTTGGAGGCCAGAAAAATAAACTCTGTTACCATTTTCATTTTTTTCCCTTCTGTTTGCCATGAAGTGATGGGGCTGGATGCGATGATCTTTGTTTCTTTCATGTTGAATTTCAAGCCAAATTTTTCACTCTCTTTTCACCCTCATTTAGAGGTTCTTTAGTTCCTCTTCACTTTCTGCTATTAGAGTGGTATCATCTGCATATTTAAATTTGTTGCTATTTCTCCCAGCAATCTTGATTTCAGCTTGCAATTCATCCGGCCTGGCATTTCGTGTGATGTACTCTGCATATAAGTTAAATAAGCAGGATGACAATGTACAGTCTATACTCCCTTCTCTATTGTGAAACAGTCAGTTGTCCCGTGTTTGGTTCTAAGTGTTCCTTTTGACCCACATACAGGTTTCTCAGAAGACAGGTAAGGGGGTCTGGCATTCTTGTCACTTTAAGAATTTTCTAAAGTTTGTTGTGACCCACAGAGTCAAAGGCTATAGCATAGTCAATGAAGCAGAAATAGATTTTTTTTTCCCCTTTTTCTGGAATCCCCTTGCTTTCTCCATGATCCAATGAATGTTGACAATTTGATTTCTGGTTCCTCTGCCTATTCTAAATCAAGCTTGTACATGTGGAAGTTTTTGGTTCATGTGCTGCTAAAGCTGAGCTTGAAGGATTTTGAGCATAACCTTGATAGCATGTGAAATGA